CCCTAAACCTTAATCCCTAAACCCTACAAAATGATGATGATGATGATCATGATGATCATGATGATCATGATGATGATGATGATGATGATGATGATGCTGGTGGTGGTGGTGATTGCTAGTATTATAACTATTACTAGTATTCTTGTGATTATTACTGCCATTATCATTGTGATTCGTATTACCAGTACTTGTATTATTATTGGGCTCACGCTTTGACTGATCGGGAAGGGTGAAGCCCAGTGGGTTTAGGGTCTCTGTCTTTCTCTTCTGTGCGAGACCTAGTACCAATTGAAGTTCACAGCAATTGGCTTGCATGTTGCTACCCAACATGCGTATTATCAGATAGCTTCGCCGAGATTCGCTTGCCATATTTCATGGCGGCTTCATCTCGGAAGCAGTGGTAAAACTTGCATGAGTACAGCTGGTTCAGCATGTCCAAGGCCAAGTGATGCAGTATGTGATGTTTGGGTCTGATCTGCCAGGCCATCCTCGGGTGCAAACTGCAGAATGTCCTCCAGCTGTGGCATGAGCTCCTCCCGCGTGTATCACGCCTCAAGGACTGAACCCCAACCCCGACATCCTGAACCCAAAACCTTTCGCCTAGGGATAGGGGTTTAGGAATTAGGGCTTCAACCCCAATGGTAGGCCATTCCACTACCTGTACTGAGATGCAAAAAAACGGGATCCCGAAATCAAGGCCCTTAAACAAAGGCGGGGCTTGTTGATCAAGGCTATGCAGTACATTCTCCCGAACCGGAAATCCTAAACCCCAAACTGAAGCCCGAACTCCTCATGCACTGACACGGCCAATATACCCGGCTCTGATAGAACGCTAAGAGAAATCTGCAGAGACCCTGTGCAACGTGATATTAAAACCGCGGGAGCCCAGGCACAAACCCTAAACCTCAAGCCCCCCTAAGCCTCTCCTTCACATGTTGTTAAACCTTAATGAGATATGTGAGCAAGGCCCAAATATTCGGGGGCAGAAGCCCAAGGCCCAAAAACTCGTGGGCAAGGCCCCAATATTCGTGCCCCAAAGTTCATAGGCATTGGAGGGTCAAGGGGCTTAGATAGTAAGGATATACGTACCTTATACAACTGGACATACAAGTAGCTTTGAGTATAGCGGCCTTATGCGCAACCCTGGGTACTAAGTCCCATGATCCTTTAAGTACACCCCAAATCCAAAAACTAAACCCCAAATTCAAAAACTAAACCCCCAACCCTAAACCCTAAACCCCAGACCTTAAACCCTAAACCCCCGACCCTAAACCCTAAACCCCAACTCCCAAACGAGCTCCCCCGCTTTGGGGTGAACCGACCTGGGTTTTAGAGTCGAGGTTCAAGGCTTGAGGAACATGGAGACCAAAAGGCTTTGAGGGCTTAAGGCTTACAGGGTTGCAGTGGTTTGGGCTTGGGCAACCGTAAAACCTAAACCCAAAACCCTAAAACCTAAACCCTAAACCTTAAACCCCAAAACACTTTCTGAACCACTTCGGATTCAGAAACCAAGATCTAGCTCGGATGCTTGGGTTTCATAGGGGTTGCGTATTGTCGAAACCCTAAACCCTAAACCAGTCCCGGACCTCAAAAACAGACAGCCCTGGGTCCGGCAACCCCAACTGAAGTGCTAGGGTTCAGGGTTTTGGGTTTAGGGTTTAGGGTTACGTTTCTCCCTTAATGGGTTCCCTGTTCCATAGGGGGTCTTTAGGGTTGAAGGCTCGAGGGTTGTGCGGTTTTTCTTTTATGGATAAGGGCTTAGGGGTTAGAGTGGAGGCCATGGGCTTCAAAGTGTAAGCTTTTAGAGAGTTTTTAGGCACGCCATTGACAGGTTTGCAATTAAGGTCAGATTGTGCCAACACCGAAAGCACCTCCCTTGATCTCTAGCCCCGCGACATGCCCGAACCCCATATCTCGACAGCATTTCTTATCCCTAAACTCCTGCTCGCACCTCGGATCACCAAACCCTAGAGCTTCAAAAAAACAGAACAGCCACGACCGCAGGCTTGACAAAACTCATTCACAACCCCTACATCCCTGAACCCCCGTCAGTCCTGAGATTCGATAACCCTAC